TGATTAAAACTGCTGTGAACATGGGTATACAAATATCTCTTCGAGACCCTGCTTTCAATTCTTTCGGGTATATGCCCAGAAGTGGCATTGCTGGATCATACGGTGATTCTGTTTAACTTTTTAGGAATTGCCATATTGTTTCCCATAGAGTCTGCACCATTTATGTTCCCACCAACAGCACACAAGGTTCTTGTTTCTCCACATCCTCACCAACACTTCTTATTTTCTGTTTTACTCATTTATTTTAAAACAAGCATTCATTGAGTACCTACTATGCCAGGGCTGTGCTATATACTTGGCAGAAACTGGGACTGGCAAGATGTTAAGTCACAGTCCCCCTGCTCTCAGGAATTCAGGACACGATGAGGGAAATAGTCATGTTCAAGAGAAAGATTGAAATGCAAGGTGAGGGACTTCCCTGGTGGTTCAGTGGTTAAGACTCTGAGTTTCCACTGCAGAGGGGCATAGGTTTGACGCCTGGTCGGGGAGCTAAGATCCTGCATGCTGCGTGCCCAAAAAAAAAAAAAAAAAAAAAAAAAAAAAAAAAAAAAAAAAAAAGAAAGAAAGAAAGAAAAAAGAAAGGTGATAGGTGCTTAATAGAGATGAAAGAGTTCTGTGTAGACACAGAGGAGGAAGTGAGGAATTATTTGGGGAAGTCTTTACAAAGAACCTGATATTCAAGCTGGATGTTAAAAGGTGAGCAGGGGGAGATGAGGTGGAAGGAAAGGTAATCTAAGCCGACAGAGCAGCACATAGCAGCCAGCCTCCAAGATGGCCTCGAGGATGGCCCCGATAAGTCTCACCTCCTGGTAGTTATGCTGTTGTATAATCTTCCCATTATGCGTTGGAATGTTGACTAGTTCGGACCCGTAAGACCAACAGGATATTGTGAAAGTGACAGTGTGTGACTTTTGAGGATATGGCATAGGAGACCTTGTAGCTTCCTGCTTTGCTCCCTCTTGGATCTCCTGCTCTGGGGGAAGTCAGCCTCCATGTCGTGAGGACACTCGAGATACCTTCTGGAGAGTCCCGGGTGGAGAGGAACTGAAACCCCTTGCCAGCCTGTCAGCACAAGAGCCAGCACCAACCGGTCTGCTATGTGAGGAAGCCAATCCTCCAGCCCCATCAAGCCTTCAGATGACAGCAGCTCTGGCCAGCATCTGAGTACAACCTCACAAAAGCCCCTGGGCCAAAACCACCCACCAAGCTGCTTGCAGTTTCCTGCAAAAACCACCCCAAAGCCAAATAATACATATTGTTTTAAGCCACTAAGTTTTTTGTTTTTTTGCGGTTCTGATAAGCCAGTAAGTTTTGAAATAATTGTTACACAGCAAGAGATAACTAATGCAGCTAGAAGCATGAGAAGATCTGGTATATGCAAGAAATGGTGGCATGAGAGACCATCGCCAGAAACCCCAAGTTTAGAGAGGCTTCTGAACAAGTCTGTGTAAGAGTGGGTGAGAGCGCCATCTGGTGGAGAAAGCTGTGCTTAGCCATTCCCTTCTCTTCCTGCTCATATTTTTCCAGCTTGTTCTACCTAACATTTCTTGCTAATAATTCTCCAAGAGCCCCAGTGAAATTCAATTATGTGGACCATATACACCCTTTCTTATAGATTCAAAGACTAACCTCCGAAAATGTCATGTTAAGGTATTAATTATCCTCTTTTTCTATTTTTTTTTCCTCCCTTAGTCTCTCCCACCTATCAGCTATCCAGGGGAAAACATCAGTGGCATCAGGATTTGAGGCAAGAAGTGAAGACTCAGAATGCTGGAGAAGGGAAAGAAGGAACCAGGAGAACTTGATTATGAAAAATCAGAGTCAGGTCCCAGAAAGCAGACTCCAGTTGACCAGTCTCTAGTTACCAGGAGAAGCCTTTGTTCATTGATGGGCCATGACTGTTGTCCCTTTCTGGTCTTTAGAGCCTTTTTGTATCCTCCAGTGTTTTCCTCAAACAATGTCGAGGAGTTCTGGAATGATATCCCTCAATTCTATAGCTGCCAGGAGAGAGAACCAATAAAACTACTAGCTATAGTCAGCCTGAGGCCAATGGTCCAGGCAGACCTGAGGAGGAGGAATTTCAAAGAAACTGAAATCTACCTTTGGAGTAAATTACTGAAGGTGGAATTACAGGTAAAGATATCCTAGCCTCATCTTAAAGGAGAGGCAGAGTCCAGAAGACAAGCCTGGCCCAGCCACAAAGCCAGGCCCATTCCTCTAAAAAGCAAGGGGATTTCTGAATATGGTTTAGTGGTGAGTGGCTGATTTGTATCTGTCTACCTTCTGGCTGTTTGGAGGGGGAAGTGATTACTTCTGGCTGGGGCAATCAGGGAAGGAGTGCAGACATTTGACTCCTGCCTAGATGAATGGGTTGGATTTGGACAAAAGCACAAGTGGGAGAAGGGCATTCCTTCCGGAGCTCACAGCACAAGCAATGTAAGGAGACCAGAATGCAAGGGGCACTTGAAGGTAACAATGGAGGAGTTCAGTTGGCTGAAGTTAAGAGGCTCTCCTGTAGGGGACTAGCAGGGGCTGAGGCCAGTAAATGCAGACTAAGGTGGTGATGGTATGGTTGGGGGAACCAGGGTCAGATGACACAGAGGTTAAAATCCCAGCTCACTGTTGCGTACTAGCTGAGAGACACTGAAGTTCCTTGACAAATCTCAGATTCCTCATCTGTGAAATGGCGATAACCCTAATAGCGTTGTTGGAGGAGGACTAGCTAAGATAATGCCTACAGAGAGCTTAGTCCAGTGCCTGCCGCCTGGTAAGCCCTCCGTAAATAAATGTTAGTGCTATTATTATTAATGCAAAGGCATCGGATGCATGCTTTAAGGGCGATTAACCGGGCAACACAGTGAGAAGTGGGTTGAATTGGGAAGAGCTTGCCCAGGACCCTGTACACAGTAGCTACTCAGGAAACGCTGAACGGAATTGCATTCTCTGCTAGGCATCGGGCAAGCAGGGATATGGTTTCTGCCTTTTGTAAGCTCACGGTCCCCAGGGGGTGAGGCAAGTGCTAAATTTGGTGGGGGGAGGATGCAGACGTAAATTCTTCAGGTTAGCTTCTGTCCAACTGTTCGCTGTCGGAATCCAAAACGACGCGGGGACAGCGAGGGGTGGGGTTCCCTAAACTCCCAGGGCTTAGCAAACCGCCGTCGGGCAGGACTACAGTTGAGCCCAGGATCCTGGCTGAGGAAGAAACGGCGCGCAGGCGCAGTGCAGACGAGGGCGCTCACCTGTCCTTAGAGCGGGCGGAGCTAAACCCGGGAGGCGGGGCGGGAGCGATGACGTCAAGGGCACGCCGCGGCAGAGCAATCGCGTCGCGGAAGCGGCGGCGGGGGAGGCGGCGGAGGTTCTCAGTACTGCGACTTCAGAGAGGCCTTGGGAAGAGGCGCGTCGTGGTGGGGCGGGCCTGAGGAAACGCGCCGGGGTCCAGTGGCCCTATTAGTGCCTCCTGGCCGTCCCCGCCCCTTCCCCACCATCGCAGCGACCGCTTAGGTGAGGTGCCACCCCCACCCCACTCTGGTGTGTCAGCCGACTGTGCGGAGTTAGGCGCCTAACGCCGCGGGGGCCACCACCTGCTGGCCCAGCGACCTTGGGTGTGGTCTTCTGTGGTTTAGGTCTCAGGGCCCCGTCCGGCTCCCTGGGCTGCAGGGGTGATGGTCCGGCCTCTGCCGGCGCAGACCTGCTTCACCCCTTCCTGGGCTCTTACCTCGCGCCCGCCTTGGGTCCTTTCGTCCTAGCTCCGCCTGAGGGGGTCTCGGGTTCCTGGTGGCCCCTTTGTTACCCTCCCTTTCAAACACCCTCCTCCCCCCGTCGTCCCAGATCGCAGCCCCTTGCCTGGAACTGGCTTTTGTTGCTGTGAGCCAAGGGTCTACCTCCTTGTTTACTGCTTAGCGTTTGGGTCGGACTTTGAAATTAGGAGAGACGGTGAGAGTTCTGTGGCTACAGAGAAGAGAGAAGGGAATGGGGTTTTATGGAAGGTGGTGACTGCCCCGTAGGGTTCAAGGGGAAAAAGGGGCGGGTAATGGGGAGGGATGGTTCAGGAGGTTGTTGCGAACAGAAGGGAGAGGGAAAGCTTAGAGGATGCAGCAGGGTGGAAGAAAGCTCTGGGGTCCTGGAGCGTGGGCAATTAATTCACTCACTCAGCGAGCATTTATTACATTCCCATTGTGTGCGGAAACAGTGGTGAATGGAAGACGTAGTCTTTGACCTGCTGGAACTCAAAGTTTAAGAGGGGCTGACTGGCAAGAAAGAAGGGAGTTTTGCTTTGGTGTGATAAATGCTGTTAGGGTACTGAGTACATGATCCTTTGGGAGCATTGGGAAGGGTCTCCCAGTCCAGACTGGAGTTGTTGGCAAAGACTTCTCAGAGCAGGGGAGTGGTGTTTAAGCCGATACCTGAGTGATGAGTAGGAATTAGCTAAGTAAAAAGTGGGAGAAAAATATTTCAGGACATCGTTTCACTTGAGACCCCAGGCTGCCTCTCACCAGCAACCATGTGTGCTTGATCTTTATGGTTTATACTCTTGATGGGTCTGTGGGGAAAAGAACATTAGATGGAGAGTCAGAAGAGCAGGATTTTATACAGTTGACCCTTGAACAACGCAGGGGTTAGGAGCGCTGACTCTCTGTGAAGTCAAAAATTGGAGTATGACTTACAGTACGCCCTCCCTCCACGCGGTTCCTCCGTATCCGCCGTTGGGCATCCGAGGATTCAACCAACTGCAGATTGTGTAGAACTGTAGTATTTAGTGTTGGAAAAAATCTGCATATAAGTGGAACCGTGAAGTTCAAACCCATGTTGTTCAAGGGTCAGCTCTATCTGGGTCATTCACTTCACCTTGCTGAATGTGTCTTCCTCTGTGAAATAGGCTTTCCACCTGTAGTCCTGCCTACCTCATAGGTTTATTATGGCACCACATGAAATAATGCAAGTAGAAGTGTGTTGGGCATTGGAAGTGCAATGCAAATGTCAGGAATTCTTATGGTTACAGGATGCAGACCTCAGAGCGAGAGGGGTGTGGGCCAGAGGTGAGCCCCAGCATGGTCCCCGAGGCTCCCCTGGAGTCTCCAACTGCTCCTGCCAAGTCCCCGGCGTTTGATCTTTTCAACTTGGTTCTGTCCTACAAGAGGCTGGAGATCTACCTGGAACCTCTGAAGGATGCAGGTGATGGTGTCCGGTATTTGCTCAGGTACAGATTTTATTTAGGGTTGCTCCAACCTGCTGGGCCTTCTGCCTTCCTGCTCTGGCCACTGAGGCAGTGGCTGGGTTATCCTTTCTGCGCTAGTGAGGAGCAGTTCTGGGAGGTCCTTTGGGCCTCTGGGCTTATTCTAGACCCTGTGTCTCAGGCCCAACCCAGGAGAGGCAGGAACTGGGAACCATCTGGCCTTTCACCAGGGTTTCTTCTTTGTGGCTGAATAAGCTCATACCTCAGGACTGCTAGCTAGCCTTGACCATTGGGCCTTTATCCAGAGCAGGCTTTTTTTCCCTTCTCTCCCAACATTAGCATAATTCATATTAAAATTAGGATGCAAATAACTATGAATAAGCAGACACTATTTTCACTAATCCTTTAGGATTATGGCTCTCAAAAGTTTTTGTTCCTGTTCTGCTTTGATTTTCATCCTTGGTAATTTTCTTTTTTCTCCTTTCAGCTCACTTTATTTCTTATGCTAAAGTATTTAAAATTATAGATACATACCATTCTGCTCCCTAAACACATTATTTAGTTTGTCTCTAAATAATAATGACTTTTTAAAAAAAAATAAGGTAACATCATACCTAACACAATTAACAGTGATTCCTTGATGTCACCCTATACCCAGTTCATATTCAGATTTTCTCAGTCCCAAGAATGTCATTTACCATTGTTTTGGTCAAATCAGGCTCCGATCCAGCACCATGCATTCTGTGTGGTTATTATGTCTCTTAGGTCTTTCTCAATCAAATGGTCTCTTTCACGACACTGACTTGCTGGAGAATTTCCTACCTAGATTTGTCTGGTTGCTGCTTCTTCCTGGTGCAGACTGGAAGTTAAATTTAAAGGTTGGATTAGATTTGAGTAAAAAAAAAATTTTTTTTTTTTTTTTGTGCAAAGGTTATGTGTTCCTAATACTGCGATGTAATGGAAGTCACATAAAGCCAGCTTGTCCTAAAGAGCAGATGTTCTTCATCTAGAGCCTGTGGGTGGGGCTCTCGGGGTCAGTGAATCTCCTGAACCTGCATGTAGAGTTGTGTGGGCACACGTGTGTGTATTTCTAGGGAGAAGCTTCTAGTTTTCATCAGATTCTTTTAAAGGCCTTCAACCATCTCAGATGCCTGAGAGACACAGGTAGGAGACAAGGGCAGGTAGGGTTGGGTTAACCTCCCAGGGTGCTCTGGAGTATTTATTCTTACCTCACTCTGGAAATAGTGGGAGGTTTATTTTTAACTCTGACCAATGCCCTGAGTTTTTCTTGTTCACCCCAGAACCCCTTTAATTTATGGTATTATCCCTAGAGATGAGCTGGTCAGTGTTCCAGAGCAATGTTCTCTACTTTTAGATGACTATGCTGTTGATGTAAGGGGTAGGGAGATGGTGTAAGGAGGGGCTCGCTTTGTAATCCCACCATGACCAACTAGCTGAAATGAATTGTGGTCTTCCTTAGGGGAGTGTGTGGGCTCTGGAAAGCACGGGGCTGTGCTCTCTGGTGTTTTCTACTCTGTGTGTGTGTGTGTGCGCGTGCGTATGCACCTGTGCATGCAAATGTATGTGTGTATGTATATACGTGTGTATGTATATATGTGTGTTTTGCCTTTTCGTGGCAAAGCACAAAAGTTAAATATATCCTGCCCTTCTCCTTTTCCAGCACTGGTCTCTTAGTGCTTCTTGGCACTAATGTATTAGGATTTTTCCATTTTATGAAGTTAGAAATCTGAGGATGTGGTGGGATTGACTAAGCTGGATGAGGAGGAGCATCGGGACTCAGAAGCCCCCAGGAGCTTATGGTCTCCGAGCAGCTGGGAGATGGAGTGCTGGTCTGTGAAAGTGGCTGTCAGATTAGTTTGTGTGTTTGGTTGTTCTTTTCTTAGTAAAGAGGATTTGACTTTGCAGAGGGATCTAATCTTGAGCTTCTATGAGGTCTGAAGCCTGGAGCTACAGTAGATTTTTAAAAGACTTCTCTCTTCTGGGATCAGCTACTCCGGTAGATGGGTCGGTAAAGTGTCGGTAAAGACGTCAGATAGAATGGGAGAGGCTGGGAATTCCCACGCGGTCCAGTGGTTCGGACTCTGCGCTTCTACTGTAGGAGGCGCAGGTTCAATCCCCGGTTGGGGAACTAAGATCCCACATGCCACGTGGCATGGCCAAAAAATAAACAAACAAATCTTAAAACAAAAAAGAGAGAGAGAGAGAGGCTTTAAAATGAAAGCGATCTCAGTGGCTGTGTGCTATTTTTATTTCTGAGATGGGATTGGCCTTAGACCTGACTTAATTTGCTTTTACCCTGGTAGCAGCCACTAGATGGGTCTGAGGCCTAATTAGGGTGGTGTAGTTGGAGTGTATGGAATTTTAAGACAAAGGCAGAGAGAGGTCATTTCACTCCCTTACTCATAACTCTTGTTAAAAAAAAAAGCACCCCATAAATTAGTTAACCTCATTTAGTAACTGTGAAATATCCCAATTAGAGCAAAAGAAAATGCATTGAAGTTCTGAATACATTGCAACTTACCTGTTGATTTTTCTATTTGACTCTCTCCTCTGAGGGCCCACCTTATATCCACTGACACTGCTCTTTAGAATGTAGGTGTCAGTGGCTTCGTGATTACGTCTGTGCTCCCTTTACCCTGTTAAATGTCCTTTATCAAGGACTAAGCCAGCAGCGTTGCTCGTCCTCAGCAACTGTCTCTGATTTTCTTTCCTCCGTCTTTGGGGGCTTCTGCTTGGCATTTGGTGGTGGTGGGAGCTGGGTCTGTGTTTGCTTCTAAAAGTTCCAGTTCACTTTGGGCATGTTTGCTGAGGGAATGCCAACCCTGGTTTTGTCTTCATTTTTTATATGTTGAAATGAAACCTTTATTATTTTCTTTCCTTTGGAATTAATGTATGTTTAAAACAAACTCTCAAAATCACAGAAATAAGAGAAAGTCACAAATAAGGTCAAAGAAATCCTTTACATTTTGTTCTCTCAGTTTCCATATTAGATGAGTCTTGTGCAGTAAGCATGTGTTCTTACGAAATTGTAAAAAAAGAATACATTACATATCAACTCTGTCTCAGTAAATACAAAGAATAAAGGAAAACTCTTAAAGAAGAATGTCTTCGGCACCTCTTAAAGAGAATAGAACCTTACAAAACACAGGTTAAACAGGGTTATAACATTAACAGATAATTTCATAAATTCTTCCTCCTCCTGAAAAAAGCTTCTACAGGTCTTCTGGTTCTGAGAGGATGCCCTTTCTCACCACGGGGCCTAAGGTGTGGCCTCAGCTCCTCTCCCGGTCGGCTGTCCAAGTGAGAGACCCACTTTTCATTTCTCCCTGACCTTCCGAGCTCCAGGGCCTCCTCTTCCTCCTGATTTTGAAGACCCGCCTGTGTGCCTGTCTCCCCTTCCTGGCTGGAGGGGCAGCTGTCTTCAGTGACCAGGACTCTCTGTGTTGTAGGTGGCAGACACCATTGTGTTCCTTGCTGACCTGCCTGGGCCTCAACATCTTGTTCCTCACCTTGAATGAGGGTAAGAACCAGGGGCCAGGGTTTTTTTGTGAATGAATGTGGGGAGGAATTCGGAGAAGCAGCCCATGTGAGGGAGCCGCCTGTCTCGCCACGGAGTTGGCCTCCCTCTGTGTCTGCTCTATGTCAGAACATAGGCTCCTGAGATACCCACCCTGGGCTAGAATCCTGGCCGGGCCACCGGTGTGACCTCGGAAGTTCTTTAACCTGTCCATTAAGGCCTAATTTTCCTCATCTCTGAAGGGAGGATAGTAACAGTGCTTTCCTCAGAGGCTCGTTGTGAGGAATGAGATAATCTATGTATAACACTTAACACAGTTCCTGACATAGAATAAGCAGTCAGTACATTATAGCTGTTATTATTATTTCCTTCTGGACTGATGCTGATGCATTAACCTTTTCCCATTTTGGTTTCTGGGGTCATTTGGGGACATGACATGGGGTGAAGGTACTAGGAAGGTGAGCTGATCAGGGATTTTTGCCACATCTGTTGATTTTCTCTGGCTCAGCAAGTGAGCCTGGCCGGGGCTGCTGGGCAGTCACCAGTGGTGAGGGGTCTGTGGCCTGAAGCCTTTGAGGTTGATGTGTGGACAGGTGGGTGGCTGGTGGGGTCCTGGATAGTGCTGTCTACTGGGGACCTTTTATGACAAGGTGTGCTGGGACCCAGCCCTTTTAGTCAGAACTGGCAGATGGCTGCAGAAAAAGCCAAACCCCTCAAGGGAAATGAGTGAAGGGCCTGGGGCAGAACGTTCTGAGGAGCTGAGTCCTTTCTTCATGCATTTGTTCTATTGAATTCACATTTCTCAAGTGTCTCCTTTGCCTCCTGTGGTTTCAATGGGTTGAAAATAAACCTGTTTCACATAAAACCTCATCTTCTATGTCTTAGTAGGACTCTTCTTTGTCTGACTGAAACTCAGATATCCTTCCCAGACTGTTAGATTTTTCTGAATATATTTCCAAAGTAAGTCAGTTCAGATGACAGATATTTAACAAGCATTTACTCGGTGCCCAGTGCTCTGTTAGTTTGCTTTGGAGGGTACCATGTTAACATGGAAGAAGTTCCTTGTTTGCATTTTCTTTTAGCCTCACCATTGCTCGATCCATAGTGGTCTGTGGTATCCTAAACTCCAAAGGAAGGCTTCCAGTCTGCCCTAGTGGCCCAAAGGTCAGACTGTCAGTCATCGGGAGCTCCCAGCGGCCAGACTCCAGGCACGAGCCACCTGCTGTGTGCTGTGTGCTAGTGTAGTGATTTTTAATATTTTAAAAAAAGGGTCTGGGGCTACAGCAGTGACCAGATGGGGGAAAAAGTCCCAGCTCTTAGGAGCCTACATTCACAGAGGAGCCAACAATCGTATGTGTAATCTGCCATGCGGTGATAAGTTCTATGAGGAAAACTAAAGCTGGGTTAAGGGGCTGGAGGCCGTGGGGGGGCGGGGGTTCTGTTTCATACCAGGTGGTTGGGGGAGGTCTTTTGGGCAGAGACCTGGAGCAGGTGAGGGAGCGAGCACGTGGACATCTGGGTGGGCGGAGGCTCCTGGTCCTGCTATCTGCTTATCTGCAGTGTTTTTGCTCCCATAGGTGCATGGTACTCAGTGGGTGCCCTGATGATTTCAGTGCCCGCCCTGCTGGGCTACCTTCAGGAAGTCTGCCGGGCACGACTGCCCGAGTCTGAGCTGATGCGGAGGAAGTATCATAGCGTGAGGCAAGAGGACCTGCAGAGAGTTCGCCTGTCTCGCCCTGAGGCCGTAGCTGAGGTGAAGAGCTTGTGAGTATGGAAGGGGCCAGGGAGGTGAGGGACAGTGACAGTACCAGCTGCCACCACACTGAGTGCTGGCTGGGCACCAGGCATCATAGTGGGCAAACCATGGATGTTATTTCATCTTTTTTTTTTTTTTTTTTTTTTTTTGCGGTACATCTGCCTCTCACTGTTGTGGCCTTTCCCGTTTTGGAGCACAGGCTCCGGACACACAGGCTCAGCGGCCATGGCTCACGGGCCCAGCAGCTCCGCGGCATGTGGGATCCTCCTGGACTGGGGCACGCACCTGTGTCCCCTGCATTGGCAGGTGGACTCCCAACCACTGCACCATCAGGGAAGCCCCTCCTTTCATCTTTTTAACAGTTCTGGGAGGTAGCTACTATGATTGTCCTCCATTTATGGATGAGGAAAAAGGCAATTGACCAAGCTGGGATGGGAATCCAGATCTAGCTGATTTCACGTTTAGGGTCTTGACTGAACGCGCACGCGCGCGCGCACACACACACACACACACACACACACACACACACACACACACACACACACACACACACA